AGAGCTCTGCTGTTTGCTGTTCACCACCAGAGCAGCATCAGACGCAGCAAGAAGCAGCCAGCTTTGCATCGAGCTGCCCTTGAGGCAACGAGTCAGTCAAAGACCTATGAAATGCAAACCGAGGTCCCTGGGCTGCGGTAGCCACACGCTGCGAGAACATCCAAGAGGAWGCATCCRGATGCTTGCYCAGCTCTTCTCCTTCCCCAGCCACYCTGCTGCTGCAGGGGGGAGCCCGGGACCCGGGCAGACCCTGCGCTGGCTTCGGCAGCCCCCTCGTCCCGCACCGCGGCGCTGGGCAGGGAAACGTGCCAGCCCTGCAGGGAGGACGGGGAACAGATCCCACAAGGGAACAACCACGAGGAAGGGCTTTGCAGAGCCCTGGCACAGGCTGCCCAGGGAGCCTGTGGAGTCTCCTTCTCTGGAGATCTTCCCAACCCGCCTGGATGCCGCCCTGTGCCCCGTGCTCTGGGTGTCCCTGCTGGAGCAGGGGGTTGGACTGGATGATCTCTAGAGGTCCCTTCCAACCTCAACCCTTCTGTGATTCTGTGACTTTGCTGCACTTCTGCGGCAAAGCCACAGCACAAAAACAGAGAGGAGACTCAGCAGAGCCATTTCCAGCTCTCAGGACTTTCAAGAGGATGTTTTGTGAGCACCCAACCACAAGGAGACAGGGTTACAGCCTATCTCTTCTCACAACTAGAAGCTGAGCATGTTACATGATAATGCGCTTATGCATTTTAAATATTGCTGTGCCCCATGTAAATATTGCAGGATCACTTMCAGTTAAAAGGAATACTGCTGTTTCAGCTCTGCAAAGCCAACCTGCAAGCAGCTGCTCTGACTGGTTTTACAAACCTCTAGCACTAACACTTCACTACAATGATCRTAATTGGCTAAACCTAGTATTTTATATCACAGGAATTTAATTTCTTTAAGTCACATGCAAYAAGTCACAAACCTCTCCAAATGAACACCTTAACCAGCACAGTTTTCAAAAGAAGGGACTCATGCCACACAGCTAAATCACTTGCTATTTTGTTTGACGGTTGCAATTGGGGACTTTTTTCCTCATTACACTGCTGAACTCCTGGCTGGTGGTGTTTGAAAAGTGATACATTCCAATTCATTCCACATTTCTCAACAAGGAGCATGTTCTTTCCAAGAAGTGCTATTGGAAATGTTCAATTACTTTGTACAAMCAAGGGTGGAGATGAAATTCATGATTATCACTAGAAGTCAAGCTTAATGTTAAGAATTTGACGTTTGTCTTCATTATCCAACAAGCTGTGAACCAAACCAACAGGATTGTAATTATTTTGTCATCCTGTTGTGGTTTAAAAGACATTCTAGGAAACAAAAGATTCAGCTTGTTTGTTCTTATACATTGACCTGCATAATATGCTTGAACAGAAGCAGAGCTGTCATGAAAACAATATTCACTACAGAAGCAACCACAACTAAACCTAYCTTATCAAAGGTTCTGTTAAAGCATCCCTACCCAGTGCCACTAACCACCAGCAGGAGTCAAAGTTCAACTTTTGGTCTTTCTAAGTGCATATTATTTTTAGGTTTATGCTGCTCCTTCTCAAACTCCTCCGTTTCCYCCCAAACATGTTCTCAGGAAGAACGTGGCTGAGCAGCACCTGCCCTTACACCCAACGCAATGCATGGAAAGTATTTCAGTTCTGCCATTTTCAAACCGCACAAACATGCAAAAAAGATTGAAAGGACAGTGTTTTCTCTCTCTCATTAGAGGATATTCTATTTTCTGTTCCCTAATTTCAGTAACTTCCCTGTAATATCTGTTCACTTTGACACAGCTGCAAGGCAAGAAATCATTATCACAGAAGAGCAACTACAAGTGGGACAGTTATTTGAAGTTTCTTCATTATTTGAAAGCTCTTCAAAGACATTTCCCTTATCTGAGCTTTAATACTGCAAATCTTCTTGGACTAGATATTTCAGGATAATTGTAGCAAGCCCAGGCAGAGAGCGACTTAGAGCTACTTCCTGCTGCCTGCTCCCTGTCAAAGATATATCTTGCTTTAAAGCATTGAAAACCCCTTAACTGAGTCATACATATTATAATAGCAGAATAAACTGTGCATATTTTATTCATAGCCTGCAAAATATGAAGCAGGCTAAACTATACCCTACCTCCAGCAAACAGAAGCGCAAGTCAGAAAAAGTAAAAATCGGCAGGGTTAGTAAAGATAAAACAAAAGGCAAAATCAAGAGAAAACAGAGCCCCCTTGTCTGCTCAGAGGTTTCCCACTGCGTTTAATCAGATCTGCCTAATGTGTGCTTAAAACCAGCCGGGGTTACTGGGAGGTGTGCACACTTACACACACACTGAGCCACCAAGGGCCAGGGCAGAGTCCAGCCCGGGCAAACACCAGAGGGAGGTTTCTGCTCAAACAGTAACAGGGCTGGGCGCTCCCTTAAACTCACAAGGCTTTCATTCACACAGGTCTTACTTAAGCCGAACAGCCACCTCTCGGAAGGGCAGGAGCCTCAGGGAGGACCTTGTTGCTGCGGAGCAAGGTCCAACAGTGGGAGGCAGGGGAGGTTCGTGGCGCTCTTAGCTCCTCCACGTCCACCCTGGAAAGGTCCTTCTCTTGTTTACAAACATTTTATCCACCGAGTTTTCAGCACTACATTTTTTTTWWAAWYYTTTT